AAATTAAGGAATAGGGACTGTGGGCCCATATTTGCAATAGCCACAAAGCCATGATGATCTAGGAGAAAACATCTAACAAATGAGTAAAGTGATTTATATGGGGCAAATTATAAGCAAAGGGATTTATATGAAGCAAGTTATAAGCTCTTTATTTTAGAAGATTTTGAAAGTCATTAAAGGAGTTCTAAATCAATGTACAATGAGAAATTCATAGTCATGTATAGAGTCAATATTAATATAAATGTTAATTCTTAACAAAAGATAGTGAAGAATTTCATCTCGTTTCAATACTAAACCATAAGTGGTATATTTTGTAAAGTTCACAGCCTTATATGGAGCCAAGAGCGAATATGATGATCCAGGAATAGTCAAAATAGTTCTGAAGAATAATGCAGACTTCCCCTACCAGATATCAAGACTTACTTAAAGAAATACTAATCAAGACAATAAAATATTAAAAGTAGTTTAATTGACCAGTGGAACAAAATTAGATCCACACTTACGCATATATTTGATTTGTGACAGCACAGAGTTTGGAGACTAAATGAACTAATTAATTATATTGGAATTTAAAAAAAATCCCTGTATTTTCATTCATAGGGAGATTAAAAATGAAATTGGATCTCTATCATAAGCAAGAAAATTATGAAATTCAAAATAATAAATATATTAATAACCTTATGACTCCAGAGTATGGAAGGATTTCTTAAGGGTGGCAAAAAATTGGACAGGTACAGTGGCTGATGCCTGTAATCCCAGCACTTTGGGAGGCCAAGACAGGTGGATCACCCAGATGAGGAGTTCGAGACCAGCCTGGCCAGCATGGTGAAACCCCGTTTCTACTAAAAATAGCAAAAATTAGTCAGGCATGGTGATGCATACCTGTAATCCCAGCTACTTGGGAGGCTGAGACAGGAGAATTGCTTGAACTTGGAAGGTGGAGGTTGCAGTGAGCTGAGATCATGTCACTATACTCTACCCTGGGCAGCAGAGTGAGATGCTATCCCTCCCCCCAACCTCCACCAAAAAAAAGGATGGAAAAAATGAGTATCTGTGTGTAAAATATTTATAAATTCAACATTAACATTAAGAATGTCAGTTTATCATAAAGGACACTGAAGAAAGTAAAATAAATCACAATATGGGAGGTTATTTTGTAAGAAATAACTGACAAAGGATCAGTATCAAGAATATGTAAAGACTTCCTACGTAAAAGGAAGAAAAAAACAATAGAAAAATAAAGCATGTGTGAACAGACATTCAAAGATGAGAATGAGTGGTTAGTTAAACATAGTGTGTTAGTTTTCCATTGGTCTGTGATGAATTACCACAAATTTAGTGTTATGAAACAGCACCCATGTATTACCCCACAGTTTTATAGGTTAGAAATCTGGGATGATGTGACAAGAGTTCCCTGCTGAAAGTCTTACAAGGCTGAAATCAAGGTGTAACTTATTCTGCAACCAGCCAATTAAATTGGTTAGCTTAGGCCCTCCTAGATAATCTTTCTGTCCTAAGGTCTGTCAATTAGTAATCTTAAGTACTTCTGCAAAATCCCTTTTATCATGTAATGCAAGGAAATCATGAGCATGACACTAGGGACCATCTTAAAATTCTCTGTGCCACATGCCATATACAAAAATGTAGACTTCATCAGCAATCGGGGATCCTACCTTAAGGCCATATTGAGATATCATTTTCTGCTAACTGAATTATCAGATATTAACAAATCTGATGATGTCCACTGTTCTTGGAAATACAGAACAGCAAGAATTCTTATGCAATACTGATGGACGTATACGTTGACACAGTTGCATTTATTCAACATTATGTGGTAAAGTAGAAGATGTGCACATTTTTTTACTCAAGAATTCTGAGTATATTCTGGAGAAATTCTGACACTCAGAATTTGTACAAGATGTACAAGATGTTCATAGCAGTATTGTTCTTAATAGCCAAAAAATTGGAAACTGTTCATTGACAGGAAAATGGGTGAGTAAATTTTTGTTTGGCCACATGCAGAATGTTGCATAGCAGTGAAAATTCTTACTACAGAAACATCAATGAATCTTAGAAACATATTGTGAAAAATTAAACTAGTGTAGTGAAATCTTAAAGAATTTATTGAAATAGAATATACATAACAAAGAGAATATATGAGAAGTGTGTAGTACAGTAGTCCCAGCCACAAGGGAGGCTGAGGCGGTAGGATCACTTGAGCCTGGGAGGTTGAGGCTGCAGTGAGCTGGGATTGTGCCACTGTGCTCCAACCTAGGCAACGGGGAAAAAAAGTGTGTAGTTGATGAATTTTCATAAAGTGAATATACCCATGTAAGCATTGCCCACATCAAGAAAGAAAATTTGATTAACAAATATTGTGCAGTTATAGTACCGCTAAAAATCAAGAAAAGTGAAGCTATTTTACATATATATAACTACATTTATGTTAGAACCATTTTTTTTTTTTTAAGCAAGAGAATAACAAAATTTAGGTCCATTGGTATTTACCTGTTGGTATTTACAAAGAAGTATAGTGGTATATGCAGCATTACCATTTCTTTTTATTCAGTTGGGTGGTGGATTTATGGGTTTCATTTTATTCTTCATTGTTTATATATGATACATGTTTTGTGTATGTCGTCTCTTAATAAGATACTGTTTTAGAAAAGAAAAAATACGATTATTTTAAAGAAGGATGAATCTAAGATTTAATTACAGAAGTTATTCCAGGTGAAAGCCATAACATGTGCTAAGGTTGTGATTGTTAGTAAGACATATGGAGAACTAAGAAGTCTGATACGGAGTTTTTATAGTGTGAGTTAAAGTTAGAAAGATAAAATGGTACAAGCTCTGTCCTCAATAAATGTACAGGCTGATGGAAAAAGATACTTAAAAGCAAATGCAGTAATATATATTAATAAAAAACTTTAAATACAGTTGTTACAGAAACAAAGTAGGAATTGACACAGGTTTATACTGGTGACAGGAAAAGTAATGAATGTTAGAAAATAGATACAGAAAAAGAGAAAAAAAAAAGAAAATAGATACAGAAACAGCAAACGAAGTATTGGAAAATTCAAGGAGAAGTAATTTAATGTATACACCATGGAATACTATGCAGCCATAAAAATTGATGAGTTCATGTCCTTTGTAGGGACATGGATGAATCTGGAAATCATCATTCTCAGCAAACTGACACAAGAACAGAAATTCAAACACTGCATGTTCTCATTCATAGGCAGGTGTTGAACAATGAGAACACATGGACATAGGGAGGGGAGCGTTGCAGGCTGGGGTCTGCGATGGAGGAGCTGGGCCAAGGGAGGGACAGCTGATGGTTGGGGAGGTCAGGAGGGATAACATGGGGAGAAATGCCAGATGTAGGTGGTTGGGGGATGGAGGCAGCAAACCACATTGCTACGTGTGTACCTATGCAACAGTCCTGCATGATCTGTACATGTACCCCAGAATCTAACGTACAATTAAAAAAAAGAAAAAATTTAAAAGTTAAAAAGATAGATTTGGATCACGTGAGGAATTCTAGGTGAAGATGCTATTCTGTGGTAAAAATTATTTTGGTAAGGAATGTTTTTGAGATATTAGAAAGGTATTTACGGCCGGGCACGGTGGCTCAAGCCTGTAATCCCAGCACTTTGGGAGGCTGAGGCGGGCAGATCACGAGGTCCAGAGATCGAGACCATCCTGGTCAACATGGTGAAACCCTGTCTCTACTAAAAATAAAAAAAGTAGCTGGGCATAGTCGCACATGCCTGTAATCCCAGCTACTCAGGAGGCTGAGGCAGGAGAATTGCCTGAACCCAGGAGGCGGAGGTTGCAGTGAGCCGAGATTGCACCATTGCACTCCAGCCTGGGTAACAGGAGTGAAACTCCGTCTCCAAAAAAAAAAAAAAAGAAAAAGAAAGGTATCTACACATGAAAATTATTAGTTAACAGAGTTTGGAGCTGGGCATGGTAGTACATGCCTGTCTCTTAGCTACTTGGTAGATTGAGATGGGAATATAGGCTTGAGTCCAGGAAATCAAGGTTGCAGTGTGCAATGATTGCACCCATGAGTGGCCACTGTACTCCAGCCTGAGTACAACATTGTGAGATCCTGTCTCTAAAAACAGCAACAAAAAAGAGTCTAGCAAATAAAGCATTGTAGATAAATGCTTTTCTAAAGTGAAGAATGTGTTTATAGTATGAATAAAATGAAGTCTGATTTTTAGGATTTTTTATGTGGAAATAAATATGGGATAGTGAATTAGATTCAAAGCATTTGGAGTTAGACCTCAGTTTAAATGCCTGCTTTGCCTTTTTTGTTTTGTTTTGTTTTGTTTTTGGAGGCAGGGTCTTGCTGTGTTGCACAGGCTGAAGTGCAGTGGTTAATCATAGATACGTAAATCATAGCTCACTGCAGCCCTCAAACTTGTAGGCTCAAGTAATCCTCCCAACTCAGCCTCTTGAAAATAATAGGCACATACCACCACACCCAACTAATTTTTAAGTTTTTAATAGAGACATAGTCTTGCTGTGTTGCCCAGGCTGATCTCAAACTCCTGGCCTCAAGAAATCCTCCCATCTTGGCCTTCCAAAGTGCTGGGACTAAAGGTGTGAGCTACCATTTCTAGCTCTTGCTCTGTCTTTTAATATCCATGTGTCCTTAGCTGAATAATGGAAATTCTTTATGTTTCTTTAGAAACAAAGGTAGTATTTCCTAGTATTATAGCAAGGGCTAAATGAGAGTATTGAAAGCTTGTAGCTTAGCGCCCAGTGTATGTTAAGTATTCAATAGATGTTTCTAAATTAAGACTTTATATGCTCTTCAAATACAAGTTTTTCAAACAGATTTAAGATTTCTTGTGACGAAAATAAAATTTTATCACTTTAATAAAGAATATCAAAAGTATTTTCTCATGCCTGATAAGTTAGTATATTCTCTTTTCTACTACTGTTCTTTTTGTTTTTATTACAGATCAACGTAAGAGTAACTACGATGGATGCTGAGCTGGAATTTGCCATTCAGCCCAATACAACTGGCAAACAACTTTTTGACCAGGTATCATTTAACTGCATGAAATATGCAACTTTTGATACCATGCTGTGAATGTTGTTGCATACTTCTTTCTCTGTTTTTCTGTACTTTTGCTAATAATCCAACAATGTAGCACTTGGAATTTTTCATGGTAGCTATTCAGATACCCCTATTACAGCAGTAGGGATATTCTTTATTCTTTTACATTTCTACATTGGTGGGAGAGGACTTCTCGGAAATAATTTTCAGCAGGCATTTATTTAACATCTATGAAAATCATTGTGATGGTGACTCAAAGGGATTCAAAAAGAATCTACGAAGTTGAGTGAAATGAGTAGGAATCATGGGCAGAAGAGACAGTGGGAGCGAAAGCATAGGGAATTACAAGTAGAGAGCATCCCTTACCCAAAATGCTTGGGACTAGAAGTGTTTAAGATTTTGGATTTTTTTTTTAGATTTTGGAATATTTGCATATGTATCATGAGATATCTTGGGGATGGGACCCAAGTCTAAACACAAAATTCATTTATGTTTCGTTTACAACTTAGACACGTAGACTGAAAGTAATTTTATAAAATGCTTGAAATAATTTTATGCGTGTGCTGGGCATGGTGACTCATGCCTGTAATATCAGTACTTTGGGAGGCTGAGGCGGGCAGATCACCTGAGGTCAGGAGTTCGAGACCAGCCTGACCAACATGGAGAAAACCCATTTCTACCAAAAATACAAAAGTAACCGGGAGTGTTGGTGCATGACTGTAATGCCAACTACTCAGGACGCTGAAGCAGGAGAATTGCTTGAACCCGGGAGGCAGAGATTGCGGTAAGCTGAGATTGCGCCATTGCTCACCAGCCTGAGCACCAAGAGTGAAACTCTGTCTCAAAATAGTAATAATAATACTTTTATGTATGAAATAAAATTTATACTGAGTTTTTACTGGGACCCATCACATTAGGTTAGGTGTGGAACTTTCCACTTGCAGAGTCACGTTGGTACTGAAGAGGTTTCAGATGTTGCAGCATTTTGAATTTTGGATTTTTGCATTAGGGATGCTCAACCTGTATGGGCTATAAGGAGATCACTAACAATTTGGTGTCATAGGTTCATAATGTATGAGGCAAAAAAAGGTTGGGATATAGAGGTCAGCTATCTGGTATGTTAAGGAACTGAGACTACTGATCTTATCTATCTTCTCAGTCTTGGGTATGCATTAGAGTCACCTGTGGAGCTTAAAAAAAGAGGGGAGGAGACAGTGCCTTCAAAACTCCTTCTAGAGGTGCTGATTTAATTGTCTGGGCCTACTCTTAAATCATCAGTATTTTAAAATTTAAGCTTTTCAGGTAATGTTGTATTGCAATGTGAGAAAAGTTTTACTGAGAAAATAAGGTAAGAGATTGTTCCCAGGGGTAAAGGAAGGTGGTATATCTTGCATGGCATGAAACTTAGAGGAGGCTTTGCATACGTAATAAATTTTAAAAAGGAGGAGGGTAACCTTTACATAAACTTTACATATATTTTTTCTCAGGAGCAGGAGAGTAATAGCTTGTACTCAGAATAGCTTGATCTTAAAGAATGAAAGAGTTTCTAGCATTTTAGCAATAAGTAACATGAGATACCTTGGGTTTATTAGTTGTCATTCTGTCAAATGCAGATTCAAATCTGATGAAATAAAAATTTTAAATTCTGAAAAGTTGCTTCTTCTCCTAACAAATAATATACTTAATCCCCTAATTAGGTAATTCATAAAATGAAGAGTCTTTTTAGATGATGAAAGGCTTTTGTGTGGATGAGCAAATTTTTAAAGCAAAATTAAAGAGCTGAGTTCACCATACCTTGTGAACCAATCTCCACTTCTTTTTGTTTTTTTTCCAAACCACATTTGTTTTGGTATAATATCTGCTTCTGTTGATTCTTCTAGGACTCCTGTTTGTGATTATAAAGTCTATCTATCTTGAATAAAAATGTGAATAGAGTTAGCATTTATTGTACTTCATAGGAAATTGAAATGCTATTTATAGTAAGTGAAATGTTTGTGGCAGCCAAAAACTAATCAGCAAGTTTTTCTTTTTGGTATTGGATACTAAGAAATAAAACTTACTTTTTATTAAGTAGAGTTACTTTAACTTGGACCGGAAAACGAAACCTCATTTATTATAGGGCAGTAATGTGTAGTGGTTTAGTAGTGTGGGCACTAGAGCCACACTGCCTGCAGTAGTTCCAGTTGTACCTGTTTGACTTTGGACAAATTAATCTCTTTGCCTTATTTTTCTTGCTCTAATTAGGATGAGGTAACATTACTTCTTTAGAGGTATATTGTGAGAGTTAAGTGAAAATCTATATAAAGTACGTAGAACAGTATTTGATGGTTTTATGTATATCTCTTTCTATTTATATAGATAAATACAGTGTCAATGCTGCATAGTGATGTTTCTGTCAACAACAGCCCATATATACCGTAGTGGTCCCATAAGATTGTAATACCATATTTTTACTGTACCTTTTCTATGTTTAGATATATTTAAATACACAAATACTTTCAGTTGTGTTAGAGTTGCCTACAGTATTAAATATAGTAACAGCTGTGCAGGTTTGTAGGCTAGGAGCAATAGGCTATGCCATATAGCCTAGGTGTGTAGTAGGCTGTGCCAGCTAGGTTTGTTCAAGTATACTCTTATGATGTTCACAGGATGATGCAATTGTCTAATGATGCATTTCTCAGAATGTATGAAGCAACACTGACTACACATACACACACACATACGCACAATTGATATTGTAAATGGTCCAGATTATTATTTACTTAAAATAATTTTTTTTTAGATAGAATCTCACTCCTGTTGCCCAGGCTGGAATGCAGTGGCGCAGTCTCAGCTCACTGTAACCTCTACCTCCCAGGCTCAAGCGATCCTCCCACCTTAGCCCCTGGCTAATTATTTTTGTATTTTTCGTAGAGGTGGGGTTTTGCCATGTTGCCCAAGTTGGTCTTGAACTCCTGAGCTCAAGTTATCTGCTTCCTTGGCCCCCCAAAGTGCTGGGATTATAGGTGTGAGCCACCATCCAGCCTGGTCTAGATTATTGAGTATTATTATCTGTTATGGACTGTTCTCAGCAGTTCTTTAGTCCCTGTTCTATTTCCTGACTGCTTTTCTTGAACTCAAACACGAGGATCTAAATACAGGCTTTACTTTTGTATATAGTGTGTATGGAATGAGCTGGCAGCTTAACGTCAAGCCAGGAGTAAACTGGGTCCTCTAAAATGAGAGCACATAGCTTCATGAGTCCATGTGTAGCAAAGCTCCATGTCTGATTATGATGTTAGATCGAGGACAGCTGCTCTGTGTTGGAGACTCTGAGTGCTTGAAGTCCTTTGGTTTGCTTCTTGCTGACTGTTCTTGACTAGCTTTCTCCTCCAGCTGCTTCTTGTGGGATTAAAGTACAGCGTGAGTGTTCACACCCCCAAAGAGTGTGTAAGAACATCTGTTAGGGTGAAAGAAGTATTAAAATATATTTTTAGGCTAGATGCAGTAGCTCACACCTGTAATCCCAGCACTTTGGGAGGCCAAGGCAGGTGGATTATTTGAGGTCAGGAGTTTGAGACTAGCCTGTCCAATATTGCAAAACTCTGTTTCTACTAAAAATACAAACAGGGCGTGGTGGCATGCACCTGTAATTCCAGCCACTTAGGAGGCTGAAGTGGGAGAGTTGCTGAGATCTGGGAGGTGGAAGTACTCCAGCTTGGGCAACAGAACAAAACTCCATCTAAAATACATATATATGTATATAAAACCTTTTATATAAAATCATTTCCAAAATGTTTAAAAATATATATGCTTTATAGTGTATTAGCATGACAGTGTGTAATTTGTAAATAAATATACATATATTATAGTTATGTGCCCAGGGATTTTCACTTATAAAAGTAGGTGATCAAAAATTTATGGGCGCTGGAAGGACAGCCTCACAAAAATATATTAACTTAAAAAAAAAATTCTAGGAGCACCTAAACCACTGGGGAGATAGGGCCTATTAGGGCATTTCACAGCTGAGCTCTCTTGTTTTTGTATCTGCGTAAGAAAGTTAGTTTAGCTATTATCCCGTGTGCCCACTGTGGTACATCTCCCTTTTACTTACCCAGCATTGTGAATCTCTGAGTATGGGGGCAGAAGCTGAGGCCAGCTGCTTTGCTATACTTCTCTCTGCTGCTTTTGACCTGTACATTCCTACTCCTGTACTCTGAGCTTGAATGTTTTCTGTGGCACTGCTGGGGCAACCTATCTTTTACCAAAGTTAGATTATTTGGGATCTCCTTTTGTCCACATTGAATTTTTCATTGTTTGGCATTGATCAGCTTTTGCATTATCAATATGAGACTTTATATTCCACATCTTCCAGAGGTTGCTTATTTTTATTTATTTATTTATTTATTTATTTTTTCTGAGACGGAGTTTCGCTCTTGTTACCCAGGCTGGAGTGCAATGGCACGATCTCGGCTCACCGCAACCTCCGCCTCCTGGGTTCAGGCAATTCTCCTGCCTCAGCCTCCCTTGTAGCTGGGACTACAGGCGTGCGCCACCATGCCCAGCTAATTTTTTGTATTTTTGGTAGAGATGGGGTTTCACCATGTTTTGTTTTGTTTTTTTTTTTTTTGAGACGGAGTTTCGCTCTTGTTACCCAGGCTGGAGTGCAATGGCACGATCTCGGCTCACCGCAACCTCCGCCTCCTGGGTTCAGGCAATTCTCCTGCCTCAGCCTCCTGAGTAGCTGGGATTACAGGCACGTGCCACCATGCCCAGCTAATTTTTTGTATTTTTAGTAGAGACGGGGTTTCACCATGTTGACCAGGATGGTCTCGATCTCTCGACCTCATGATCCACCCGCCTCGGCCTCCCAAAGTGCTGGGATTACAGGCTTGAGCCACCGCGCCTGGCGGGGTTTCACCATGTTAACCAGGATGGTCTCGATCTCTTGACCTCATGATCCACCTGCCTCGGCCTCCCAAAGTGCTGGGATTACAGGCTTGAGC